ATTATTATTATTATTATTATTATTATTATTATTATTATTATTATTATACACAAAAATGACAGTATACACAGCAAACGAGATAACCATGCTGGGTTTCGTATCACAAATCACTAGTTGAACACTTCCCAAGTGTTTACGACTGCGTGATATATTGGCGGATTATGCGAGCAGATCCCAGTAAGGTGGACTTCTGCAGCTGACCAATAGTGATCTTGTCAGCGCCAATTGTTGTTATTATTATTATTATTAAAATGTATATGCTGCCAAACTCTTAGTGACTCTGGGTGGTTTAACAAATTATTTCAAACATGAAAAATTAGATATCAAAAATAACAAGAAACAAAAAAAGGATAGAAATGGCAAAATAAGGTGGGTAGAAACCCCCCAAAAATCCATCTGGGTGAAGAGTCAGGTTTTCAGGCCCTTTCAAAACACCAGCAGGATAGGGGATTATTCAGATCTTGTGGGGCAGATATCTTCCAGAGGACAAGCCCTGCTACAGAGTAGATGCACTCCCAGGATCCCAATAAGTGACATTGTTTAATTCAGGGGTCCCCAAACTTGGCAACTTTAAGACTTGTGGACTTCAACTCCACAAGTCAGCTGAGGAATTCTGGGAGTTGAAGTCCACAAGTCTTAAAGTTGCCAAGTTTGGCGACCTCTGGTTTAATGATGGAATCTGGACAGCGCCAGTCCTGAAGGATTGAATCAGCTTGTTAGTCGTAAATCAGGATAAGGTACTTAGCCCAGTGTGCTACTGGTCAAAATAGCACCCAAACCAGAAAGGTAGGTTAATATCTCTTTATTTATGCATAAGTAAAGTATTAGGTGTCCCACAGGTACAAAGTGAGAAGCCCTTAGAAAATGGAGAAATCAATTTATATACAGAATAACAGAGCTGGGAGGGACCTTGGAGATCTTGTAATCCAACCCCCCTACTTAAGCAGTAGATACCATTTCAGACAAATGGTTGTCCAATCTCTTTTTAAAAGCCTCCAATGATGGAGCACCCACAACTGATTAATTGGTTAATTACTTAAATTAAATTAAAATTAATTGAAGGAAATTACTCTTTAGCTCTAGATTGGTTTTTTCCCTTGATTAATTTCCATCCATTGTTTCTTGTCTTGTCATTTGGTGCTTTGGAGAATAGCTTGACTCCCTCTTCTTTGTGGCAGCCCCACAAATATTGAAACACTGCTACCATGTCTCCCCTCATCTTTCTTTTCACTAAGCTAGATATACCCAATTCCAGCAACCGTTCTTCATACGTTCACTGTACATTTTACGCTTTAGCCTCCAGGTCCCTAGTCCTCTTGGTTGCTCTTCTCTGAACTCTTTCCAGACTCTCAATGTCTTTTTTTTACATTGTGGTGACCAAAACTAGATGCAGTATTCCAGGTGTGGTCTTACCAAGGCTTTATAAAGTGGCACTAATACATCACGTGATCTTGATTCTGTCTTTCTATTAACGCAGTTAATGTTAACACAGTTCAAATATATGGGGTTTGGAACGTGTTCTTCATTGCTAGCATAATTTGAGTCACCAAGCATCTAGCGAGCATGCCCATTAACTATATAAAACCGTTCATATCATCCCATCATATTCTTAGCATGATCTTGTATTGAATATTCAAGGGGTACGTTTCCCACAGTTTTCAAGTTATTATAATTCAACTTTCTGAGCAATTTCTATCTCTGGCCACTTTCAATTGGTTCTGGTCAGAATTTCACATTCTTGCTTGTTACTTCAAAGAAACCAGAAACAGTCATCAAAGGCACTCCTCATTCCCGAATGCAGTTATTCAAAGAGGCCCCCGCTCTTGTTCCCACCAAGCTGGACAGATGCTATAGGAGGCAATGGAAAGTGGTTGGATTCCATTTTTTTTTATTATCAGTTCTGTGGGCGTAGCTTGGTGGGCATAGCAGGGGAAGGTTACCGCAAAATTCCCATTCCCTCCCCACCTCACTAACCTGCTTTCCAGTTCCATTCTTCTGTTCAGGGCAACCAAAGAAGACCCAGCCGATCAGCTGGGACTCAATGGGAGGCAGAGAAGAGATGGGGTTGGCGGGGCCAGTCAGAGGTGGGATTTGCCGGTTCTCCGAACTTCTCAAAAGTTCCGCTACTGGTTCTCCAGAACTGGTCAGAACCAGCTGAGTTCCACCTCTGCATGGAGGGCTTTATAGGTAGTAACCGGCACCTTGAATCAGGCCCAGAAGAAGCAAACAGACCCACCAATGCAGACGACAAAGCAGAGATGCTCCTGGTTGCTATTATTGCTATTACAACAGAGGGATGCCTGGAACTTCTTACCCTGTTGGCCTCTTGAATAAGAATCTTTCTCATATCTGAACTTGTGTTTTTTTTATATAGCTTGTCTTGGAATAAGCTTGGTGATGAAACTGCCAAAGAGCTCGCCATGGTTCTCCCTGGGTTGACAAGGATGAAGTTTCTGGAGTAAGTACCTTAAGACCTTGAAGCTGATTTTGATTTTATTAGGAAGGGGAATTCGATACTATCATTAATTTCTCTTCTGGAGATCCCCAGATGAGAATGTGATCAGGAAAATATCAGAGTGCAGAAATGAATAGATTAACCCTTGCGATTCAGGAGAAAGAGCAAAGTGATTGTTATATGACATGGGATTTATTTTATCAATGGTTAAATAACAAAAATGGAAGTTAGAAACAGGGAAACAAAAGATTAGTGAAATGAAGAAGATAGGTTAGGAGAGAGAAGCAAATATTATGATTAGTATGTTGAATATTATTATTTTAACATTGTAGAATTAATACTGATGTATCACTGTAAATGACTGTAAATTTTGATTACTATTTTACAAAGATATTTGTACCTGGACGACACATCATTCAATTGAAGATGGAATTATTATATTAAAAAAATATTTAAAAAATCCATTTAAAAAGGGTAATTTCCCTTATGTTCTTCTCTTCTCTCTCTAGTCTGGACAACAACTGTATCACAACTTATGGTGCTTCCATGTTAGCAAGGCAGCTTCCTCGATGTCCTAGAATCCAGACTATACGGTGAGCTTTCTAGGAGTAGTAAGAGCCCCTCTCAGTCCTCTAAACAAAATTGGATTCATAGGCTGAGTTATCAACCTTCGAAGACCTTCCTAATCCTTCTGTTGCATGGTGCTGCAACCCAGTTGAAGTGTGGCCAAGAATAAGAAGCGGATCCCAATTTTGTTAGTTGAAATTCCGTAAAGTTCTTTTGGATGACCACCAGGTGTGTGGACTTCCAGCCCCACCAAAATACTCCAGCCAGGACAGCCATTGCTGAGCATCCTGAATGTTCTCAGCCCAAACATCTGGAGGGCTGAGGTTGAACAAGGGTGATTTGAATGGTGATGTTTAGGGAGGGTGCATCCAAGGGTGTCATCAAGATGGGGTCCAAAAAGTAATGACGGTGACCAGAATAGTACAGAGCTCTGTCTGGTTCTTATATGCATCCCACATGAAAAGAGGAGGATCTTTGATCACATTGCATGCCCGCCATCTTGATTTTTTTGGCCACCTTCGTGGCCACCTTGGTAGCATTTAATAAGTCAAAAAAAGCTGCTGGTTGCCCATATTTAATTGAAACTGAGAATAGCAGGTGCCACAAGAATCATAAATGCCAAGCCATTGTTTGTTTTATCCATGGTTTATTGAATAAGCTATTGATTTGCACCAAGACAAATTCCTTGTGTGTCCAATCACACTTGGCCAATAAAGAATCCTATTCCTATTCCTATTCCTATTCCTAATTCTATTCTATTCTATTCTATTCTATTCTATTCTATTCTATTCTAT